TGTGTGTATGTATGTGTGCGTGTGTGTGCATGTATGTGTGTGTGCGTGTGTATGTGTGCGCACGTGTGTGCATGTGTGCACATGTGTGCGTGTGTGTGTAGGCACATGGATTTACATGCATGTAGCTTCTGAGGTCAATGTTGGTTGTTCTTAATTTCTCTCCACTTTATCATCATCATCATTATTGTTATTGTTATTATTGTCATTACTTTGTTATTGTCTTTGGAGACAGGATCTCTCTGTAGCACTGGCTGGCCTGGAACTCACTATGTAAACTAGGCTGGCCTGGAACTCATGATCCTCCTGTGTCAGCCTCCGGAGTTTGGGAAGCACGTGTAACAGGGTCTGGTGCATATGGACAGTAGCTGTCGGTAGCTTCTGATGGCATGTTAGATACGCCACGCCACGTGCTGCAAGTTTGGGCTGTTGATCCACGGGGCTCAGAACACTGGTATATTCTGTCTCGTTCCTCCTCTCTCCAGAGCAGAGGATGGAAGCCCAGGGCCTGTCATTTGCTAGGCGGGCCCTCCCATGGCAGGACACTCCGGTCCCTTACTGCTGCAGGGATACGAAAGCCTAAAGCAGTCCAGGGGCCTGGGGTGAGCCTCCAGTCAGGAAAAAGTGTGTTTGTCATGTTCGAGATTCTGCTCTTTTGTTTTCTTTGAGACACAGGTTAGCCCAAGGCTAGCCTTGACTTAGCAATACTTGTCTAGTCTCATCCTTTCGAGTGCTGCCGTTATTAAAGCTGTAAGCCACCACACCAGCTCAGATGCTGTTCTGATGACTTCATGGGACACGACTGACTGGTTCTTCTTAGCCACACTCTGCAGTGGGTTCTGTTATTATGCTTGTTTTGCAGGCAACGAAACTCAGGGGTGTAATTCAGTGTGTAGTCACACAGCTAGCTAGACTCCTAGATTCATGTGTTCCGTACCTGGGCTTCCTGCTACACATCTGGAATCACTGCACTTGGAAGGCTCAAACAAACAAGAGGATTGCTGCCTGGCTCACAGGAGCTGTAGGGTGAGACCTGATCTGAAAATAAATACTAGCGCTGGAGAGACGGCTCAGCGGTTAAGAGCACTGACTGCTCTTCCAGATGTCCTGAGTTCAATTCCCAGCAACCATATGGTGGCTCACAACCATCTGTAATGAGATCTGATGCCCTCTTCTGATGTGTCTGAAGACATATATATATGTATAATACATAAATAAATGATTCTTTAAAAATGTCTGTTTACCTTATAGGAAAATACTAAAGGAAAAGGGAGATATAGTTTATGGGTAGAAAATCAAATATATATCATGCAGGAGGTGTCTCTCAGTGATAGAGCCCCTGCCTAGAATCCCCCAGTGAGGGGCTGGGGGCGTGGCTCAGGGGTAGAGCCCCTGCCTAGAATCCCCCAGTGAAGGGCTGGGGGCGTGGCTCAGTGGTAGAGCCCCTGCCTAGAATCCCCCAGTGAGGGGCTGGGGGCGTGGCTCAGTGGTCACGTGGTCACATAAGTGAGGGCCTAGTTTCAATTTCCAGGACAACAAAAAGCAAACCAACCAAACAAAAATTTCTCATCCCATAACTATCTATCCAGGTCCTACAGATTCCCAGTAGCCAAGGACTCTAAATACTGGTCCCCTGGGATCTTCAGGGAGCTCACACAACATAGGGCCCATAGTTCACCGTCAGCAGGTGCAGCAGGTCCTCATGGGCACTGCAGGGGGGACGCTGTCCCTGGAGTGCTGTCAGCTCCTGCAGCCGTAGATACAGGCTATTCAGCTTGGGAAGGTGCAGGCGGCCATCTGGTAATCTGTCTGGATGGGCCTCATACAGAGATACCAGGTCCTTGAGGTGTACACCCAATACCGGCAGTCGGAAGCCAGTAGAGCTGGCCCAGGTGCGGCGATAGGAGGCATAGTTGTTGTGGGAAGAGAGGAGCTCTGTCAGCTCCAGCAGGGCCTGTGTAGAAAGTGCATGCTGTGGGCCAGAATGTCACCGATCTGAGCCTCCTGGAGCGGGGATAGTAGCAGTCTCCGTTGTGGACTCTGAATCCAGAATTTGGACTAGACACACAAAGAGTGAGCACTAGCCTAGAATCCCCCAGTGAGGGGCTGGGGGCGTGGCTCAGTGGTGGAGCCCCTGCCTAGAATCCCCCAGTGAGGGGCTGGGGGCGTGGCTCAGTGGTA